AGACTTCTAATGAGAACCTACTTCTAAACTCATTCCAGTCGTTTCTTATGGTTGTAGAACTGAGGACCCCAAATCCTAGTTAGCTGTTCTCCATGGTGGCTATCATGTGATTCTTTTCACATGACCCTCAAAGAGCCCTTTTCATCCAGAGGTCCATATAATTAGATCAGTGCCACTAGATAATCTCTATATCTAACCTGGGACTTTGAGTACAGCCCTAAAGTCCCTTTACCATATAGCAGTACCTAGATTAGTATTTGATTCAATAACCAGGGGATGAGAATCTTGGGGAGGGAGCTCATTGTTAGACTTCTGTCTACCCCAGAACCAGTTTTGTCTGTTCTGGAGTATTGCAGGATAGTGACCAAATATCTGCTTCATGCTAAATTTGAGGCCTGATGCTATGTACTGAGGATGAAAAATGTGCACCTAGAATCTTCTTGACTGGAGGGAAGGGACCTGTCATCTCCTATAAAGATACTTAATTTTGTTGTTGTTTGGTTTTTTTGTGGTGGGTTTTTTAATCTTTGAGACTCATACATGAGTACTATATTTGCATCGTTTCCATCACCCCCATGTCCTCCTCACTAGCTCTTAATTTCTTGCCCTCTTCTTTGATTATTGTTACATATACCTACATACTTTCATAAATACACACACACACTCAAAGGCACTGATGAGTCCATTTAGTACATTTAATGGTGCTCATGTGTTCCTGTTTAGAATTGCGCACTTGGGATTAGTCAACCTCTCTGGGAACTATGCAAAAGTTACAGAACCCTGAGGAAGGGCACTTGGCTAGCCTTGTGGATCAGCTCCTTGGAGAAAATACCGAGCAGTACTTTGAACATTAGAGGTTAAACAGACATAGCAGATATATATTAAATACATAGAATGGATCAAGAGAAGTAGGTTCTATAAATTCTGGTGTTTATGGAACTTAAAGGTAAGATAGGCAATGACTTCAGCTTAAAGAAAGACAATATGTTTTCTCTTACATCATAGAGAGGTTGGTCTTTTATTTCATAATAAGAGCCAGTGAAGAGTTGTAAGCAGTGGTAAATCAACTGGGATCACATTCAAAACAAATACTTTGGAAATTACGCCGTAGAGACTAGATTAAAGGAAGTGTCTAGACAAAGAAACCAGTTAGTAGGCTGAATAATATCAAAGACATAAGGGAGTAAAATGAGCCGTGGTGGACATACTGGAGAGGAGAGAACTGGAGTCAAGCAATGTTTAGAAGTAAAATTGACAGACCATATTTAGTGTTTTGATGGGGAGTGAAGAAAGGGAATAAAATGAGGAATCAGAAAGTCAGATTTCCGATTTGAACCACATGGTTGGCTGATTATAGAGCTGTTGACTCAGTCAGGCAACGTAGCATAGCAGAAATTTGTTAATGAATTATTTGGGATGAATTAATTTGATAAGCCTGTGACCATTCAATAAAAAAAAAAACTCAACAGGCTTTTGTATCCATTCATTTTCTTCCTTCACAAACTTTTTTGTTTTGTTGCAACACACCAAACAGTAGTTTAGATGCTCAGAATATTAAGGTATAAGACAGTCTCTGTCTGTATCTTCACAGTTCACAGAGCTATTTCAGATACCTAGACAAGTAACTATAAAAGTGTCTAGCAAGATGAAAAAGACATTCTATAAGCATGATGGAGGTTCTGCACTCAGCAACAGGGATTATAAACAGTGTCCTAGAAAGAACTCGAGGATTGACATTCCTGGAAGCACAGTGGTAGCTGAGAGATGAGGGTCCATCCACAGGTAGTAATTGGCAACTGTCATGTCTGCCTTCCCTGGATGTTGTGCCAATCTGCAGTCAGAGAAAAATGGATCCCTTACATTCATCATGGTTTAGGGGGACTATCTGGGCAACTTCTTAGTTGAGTGATCGCATTGCTGATAAGGCTACAGAATAAGCACTTTGAACCTTTAAAGTTTTCCAGAAAAAAAAAATCACACAACTTCATTATTTTAGCTTTATTTGTTTTGCTGTTGTAGTCATCTGCTAAGATTGTTCACTGCTTTTCATTATGATGAAGAGTATATATTACTTGCTGTGAGGCTTTAGAATTTGGAGGTACACATAAAGGGGATATGTAGGTAGAGAAGGTAAATGTAAGGACCATTTGAACCATCTGTTTCACCACATTTATCCTACCACCTTCTGTAGAACCCTAAATTTTGCAAGTCAAAAATAATACCTTTCAGCATATGTTACTGGTTAGCTCAGTATCCACATGCAGAATGAAGTGGAACACTACCTCAAACAATGCACAAAGATCAATTCAAGGAGTATCATTGACCTAAGTGTAAGAGGTAAAACTATAAACCTTATAAAAGAATCATACGTGTAAACTTTTGCAACTTTGGGTTAAGCAGAATGAAGTGGAACACTACCTCAAACAGTGCACAAAGATCAATTCAAGGAATATCATTGACCTAAGTGTAAGAGGTAAAACTATAAACCTTATAAAAGAATCATACGTGTAAACTTTTGCAACTTTGGGTTAAGCAATACAAGCAAATAATGGATGTATTGAGCATCACAAAAATTAAAATATTCAGTGTTGAAAAGCTGGGGGAAGAAAACTGTTAAAGGGTAGTCAAAATAAAGTGAAAAGGGAATCCAGTGAATGGAAGAAAATGTTTGCAAATCATGTATCTTCTGATAAGGGACTTTAGAAACCAGCAATAAAAAAAAAATAAAACCCCACAAATGAACAGAGTTTGGGGCTGGGGAGATGGCTCAGTGGGTAATCTCTTGCCACATAAGCATGAGGACCTGAGTTCAGATCCCCAGAACCCACATGAAGCTAGATGCAATATTGTAATCCCAGTGCTCCTGTGTGGAGATGGGAGGAAAGACAGGAGAATACCCAGTAATTTAGGCCAGCTAGCTTGGCATATGCAGTGGCCATGAGACTCCCTTAAAACAAAGTGAAAGGTGAAGTCTGACACCTGAGGTTGTTTTTTGACCTCCACACATGTGCTGTGGCATACCTGTCCTACACTCACAGATTTGCATACATCACACACCCACAAAATTAGCATATCTTCCAATAGTGTACAAAATGCACAACAAGCACATGAAATAGTGTTCAACATATTAATGATTAATAAATGCAAATCAGGGGCTGGAGAGATAGCTCAACAGTTAAGAACACTGGCTGTTCTTGCAGAAGACTCGGGTTCGAATCCCAGCAGGCACATGGCAGCTAACAACTGTCTGTAACTCCAGTTCCAGGGGATCCGACAGCCTCTTCTGTCTTCCACGGGCATTGCACGACACAGGTGCACTTAACCTACATGCGGGCAATACATTCAGGAAATACATGTATACACATAAAATAAAAATAAATAAAATATTTTTAATGCAAATCAAAGTCAACATGGATGCACCTCAAAAACATTATGATATATGAAGTAAATCAGGCACAAAACATTACATACTGTATGATTCTATTTATATGGAATGTCTCCAATAGGCAAATATGTAAAGACAGAAATTAGTGGTCATCTGAGACTGGAAGAGTAATGAGTGACTGCTAAGTGGTGTGTGTGTGTGTGTGTGTGTGTGTGTGTGTGTGTGTGTGTG